ATTTGAGTCACCGCCTGCCACTGACACATTCACTATGCGCATCAACTCAGCATTGCATCAGATTCTTCTGGCACCACCTTCTGCTCCCGAGAAGGGTCGAGGTAAGGGCAAGCAGGGTCGGAAGAAGTCAAGCTCCAACAAGGAGAATCCACCCAATCGTCCCACTACCACCGCTCCCTCGGGACCATCTCCTGAGAAGCACCGACTTGAGATCCTTGAAGCGCGCTTTGACACCCTTCAGGGACAAGTTGCGGGCATCGAGTCTAAGCAAACGACTCTTGAAGGTAAGCTTGATGATCGTTTCTCCGAGATTTCCAACACACTGAGGCAGCTCGTCAATCTCACTCAGACTGCACGAGCGCATGAACCTTCGGGGGAAACGCCACCTCCCAAACACTCCAGGAACTCATGACGGGGTCTTGCAAGGCCCTCAGGCTTGCCTTCATCCCTCTCCGTTTGGATTTTGTTCTTGTCTGGGCTCTCCTGGACTTTCTTGGTGTCTGTCTTTTTGAGGTGCATCCGTGACACGGCCTTGCCATGGGTGGTTGGCAACAACCCTTTTGCAATTCCATGAGTTCAATCTTTGCCTTGCGCTGTCCTAGGCCAACCGATGCCTGGACGTTCATGTTTCGCTCCAGCGTGCTTTCGTTGCTCTGTCTCTGTCTTGTCTTTGCACGTCTTTGTCCGTTCTCTGTGTCTTGTGTGCAAGCAAAGGAGCATGCATTTGCCCGTACGAGGCAGCTTTCGTGCACCGGGACCTGTTGGTCCATCAATTCAGATCATGGAGTCAGTCGAGGTCCTCACTTCGCACGTTTCTTCGCCCAGCGTATTGAAAAAGATCGCTGGCGTTGCTGTTTTGTCGCTTTGGTTCGTCTTTTTCCCTTTTTGTTACAACCGCACTTCACCTTTAGGCATTTTGCCTTCGATTCAACCTTAGGTTTTCCCGGTGAAGGACCTGGGGATCCTCCCGTTTGGACCCTCATTAGTGCCAACATCGGTTCCCTCAATACTGCAACTCACTGGAGGGCTTGGAACGCTCAAGCTATTTGTTTACAAGAACTCGTGTTGGCAAGAACTGTATTCGTTCCGCCACCAAGATGGCTGAACAGCACGGACATTGTCTTTTCCATGGGAAACTCCTGCCAGGGCTTCTCTCAACCCATGGTGTCAAACGAACGCCCCATGGTGGGGTTGCTATTCTTGCACCAAGGGAGCTCGGTCGTGATTTCTTGCCGTCCGACGATGTTTCCGGGCTGTTTTCGAAGCTGCATCAATCCAAACGAGTCCATGCAACTTGGATTCAAGTGTCTAAGACTTTGAAACTGTTGCTTTTCTCTGTCTATTGTAAAACTGGTGCAACTCAAGACAGCAGCATTCAGGATTTCAATGACCAACTGCTACAGTACATTTTTACAATTGTCGCGCAGTTTGAGGACATCCCTGTGATCATCGCCGCCGATTTTCAGCTTTCACCACTGCAATATCATTCGGCGTCCACGGCTGTTCACCATCACCACTGGAATGATGCTCTCACTCTTGTTGACTCTCCAGGTGACTTTCGCCCCCTCACTTTTCCGCCAATGGCATCTTCACTGGTCCAGGCGATGGGTGTAGCAGCATTGACGGGGTTTTAGTCAATCGTATTGCTTCAGCCGCTTTGGCACAAGCTGAAGTCATGCCATTACTTAAAGTGCAACACAGACCTATTCGCGTTTCCTTCAAGTGGGAAGTTCTCTGGCAGACTGGTTTTGTTCTTTTCAAACCTGCCCCCTTGATCCTTGATAGGTGTAACCAGGGTTGTGACCTCCCTGTCGAACCTGATTCATTTGCATTTGATTCCTCTCTTTCTATCAATGAAGTTTGGACTCGTGCCAATGACGATGCTATTGGTTCCCTTCTTCATCAAGGTGCTTGTTGGGGGCCCGGCCCACGGGAGCGCGGTACTCAAATTCAGTTCAAGCCCAAACAAATGCACTTTCGCTTGAGGATGCACAGCATCATCATTCAGCCCTTCTTGGAGTTAAGATTGATAAATCTAAGTGCTTTGATATGATCATTCCCCAGTACGCAGCCGCACTCATGCGTTTGGTGTTCCCAAGTGTGTTGTCACTGTGTTCACTAAAATTTACGCCCAGTTGCAGAAGCACCTTGCTTTCAAATCTTGGTGCGCCACATATCCCACTCATGGACCCAATGGTGTTGCCCAGGGGTGTTCCCTCTCTCTAATTGCCATTAATGTGCATATGAAAGTGTGGGTTCACCTGATCGCTCTGTTGCCTGATGCACAAGCATGCATCGATGATGCTTACCTGTGGGCAAAGCTCACTAGTAGTGCCTCACTTAAGCGTGCCATAGAGCTCACCGAACAGTGGGACCAACTCGTTGGGCAAACCATGAACTACTCCAAATGCACGACATGGGGTACTTCCTCTGCTGCCAGGCATGAAGTCAAACACCTTTTTCCCACCATGCTACTTCAACTTGGAGTCGATGTTTTAGGGGTTAACATTCGAACTAGTGGCCGCAATGCCATGCATTTTTCTGACGCCAAGTGTGACAAGATCGTCGCAGACATTCGTAACATTGCTGCCCTGCCACTGCCTGTTGCTCTTAAATCTAAACTCGTTGGGATTAAAGTTGTGCCACAATGCACCTATGCCGCAGCCATCAACCAGATTCCCGCTAAATGCATTGCCAAAATCCAAGGTGCCATTGCAAACCTACACTGGGGAAAGCGCCCCCATGGGCGTTCGCGGTTCCTTGTTTTCGCTTTGCTCACCAAACCACATCGTGTTGAACCAGTCACCGCTCGACATTACAATGTCATTCTCGACCTCCTTAGGTATTTGCACCAATACCCTGAGCAAGCCAATAAGTTTAGAGCTTTGTTACCCAATGCATCCCCTAAGCATCGCTCTGTGGGCCAAGCTCTTAGACAGGCCTTTCGCTACTTTAGTCTGTACTTGAGTGATGAGGGTAGGCTTAGCTTTCGTGGGCGAGATTTATGTGATTTTCTTGACCTCACGGCCAAGGATGCCAAAAAGATGTTGCAGCACCTTGCCAAGCATGCCTGTTATGCACAAGCATCTTTACAACTTGAGAGAGGAGGGGGTGAACGAAAGGTAGCAGGCAATCACAAGTAACCCTGGTAGAAGTCCACGACGGCGTGAACCGGCGCAGGGGGGATTTGATCGGGGGGGGGGGGGGGCCGCCGCCCCCCCCCCCCCGACGAACAGAATCAACTCTTACAGGACCAAATTCAATGCACAATCCCAACTCCTGACTGTAATACATTTTTGCTAAAGCAAGGAGAACTCAGGTAGCTCAAGCTACCTTTCGTGACATCGCAAGGACATTCTTGCGCCTGGAGGTTTACTTGATCCTCACCTCTCTACCTTGTATAGTTGTAAGGCCCCCCCCTGACACTCAGGATGAGATCCCTGCCAAAGCCTTCTTTGAAGCCCAGCTTGTTGGCTGTCTGTTGACCAACGATCGCTTGGCAGCCGCCAAGTTTGTTGATGAGCCCAGTTGTCGCCTGTGTCATGCCACCAAGGAATCTCTTCCTGCACATGAGTTCGGTCGGAACTTTGAGCTCCTTGGTATTGTCGAACACCCCTGGTCTGTTGCCGCCGCTCGACTCAAGATCAGCTCGTTTCACGACATTGTTGTGAGTCCTTGGGATTGCAACCAACCCCGCGTTTCCCTTTGGACCGATGGCTCTGTTATGTGGCCTGAGCATTTCCTTTTGTCCTGCGCTGGGTATGCTGTTGTCGATAAGCATGGACAAGTCATACTTCGAGGTCCCGTGCACCATTGGTCTCTCTGCAGTTACACTGCAGAATTATGGGCCCTTGTTAATGCGTTTTGCTTTGCTGCCACACCTGTCGAAATCAGGACTGATTGTGAGACCCTTGTTAAGCATGTCCTTTTCATGATCAAGCATGATTGTGTTCACCCCACGTGGCCTCACTTGCCTTGGTGGAAAGGGTTGCATCATGTGTGGCAACAACGCCATGAGGAACATGTCTCGCCGCTTGAAGTCGCTTGGATACCGTCTCATGTTTTGGAACACATTCCTTTGGAGCTTATCGATTGCGATATGGCCACAGCACACTCAACAACACAACTTGATATAGCGAATAATAGACATGCCGACCATGCTGCAAAACGAGCCGCATTGGCTTGCTCCCTGGTCCATCCTGATGTCTACAGTTGCTTACTTGAAGCAACCCTTGAACGACAGACCTGGCTGACATCGCTCAGCAAGCTCGTTGGTATTTCTCTTCCCCAGTTCGAAGAACCTGAAGAGGATGACAATGATGAAATGCAGATTCAGCCCCAACAGCACTTTCCGCGTTTACCATGGAACAGCAAAACTACTGAGTTTCCTTGCGTTTTTCTTGGAGGGTGGCCGGCCAGCGTTGTGGCCAATGCAAACATTCTTGTGGATGATTGGTTGTCTTTTGGGCGCTTTATTGCCGCTCTGAGATGGAAGGAGGGCCCTGAGTTGATGTGCTCTTACACTGAGCTCGCCGTGTTTTTCGCCTTCCAGGGACACAAATGTTCCATCATGTCTGACGAACACGTAACTTTCCGCCAGCTTATCCAGCGGATGAAGAACCTCACCGCCACTGCTCGCAAACAAGGCCTTGCATTTGCACCGGGCCACCACGACTCTCGAGCACATCACTCCCGGGGGAAAACCATGCCCTCCAGTTCGATTTGTGGTGCCGCTCCATACCTTTCAGACGACTTTCTCTTTTTCCTTGTGGAGGTCACTTGAAGAGTGACTAACGCCGGGCTCGATGCTTGGGATTTCCTTGTCTCTGATTTTGTGAAGTAGGATCCACCTTCGATCCTTTTTGGACCTCACTGTCTCCCGAAGGGAGCACTTTGGATGCCATGGGGTGGAAGCCCCTGGCACTGTGTCACGCTAGGGGACCGTCGTGACCGCGAGAGGAAGAAGAGGTTTTACAATCTAAATGGCGGGGTGTGATTAATCAAGAGCCTATATATACACTTATAAGTATTACGAGGCCTGGAACTGCTGCTTTTTCCCACGCCCTCTGCCGCCTTTCAACGTCGGGGTGCATGCGTGGCAAAGCTCCAGACTCATCTCCCACATCTAGTGGCTCCAACTCAAATGTGTCAGGAAGCTCCTCCAGCTCCTTGGACATGCAGTGGCTCATCATCTTGGATTTGTTCCAGGAAGCCTGAAAGAACATAAAACATCATACCAGTTTTCCATGTTTCCCCCAGGTTTGGGGATTCGCCCAGTTCGGGAAAATACAACATCACCTCATCCGCAAGACCAGGTCATGCTAGGTCATGTAATGCCCATCTTCCTAAGTCTAGACATCTTCTTCACGAGAAACTTCACCCTTCACGGATCTTCATCCCAATCTGGTTGGCCTAATAGATGTTACATCTGACCCATCCACTCACATCTTCAGCCAAACACATCACACCAAAAATGCTGATCAACTCTGATCGATATCTCCCACCCCTTGTGCCACCGCTTCGTCTGCCCCTTGTGCCACCCCAGCTGGGCCGTCCCCAAGCCCCACGGCTCTACGCAAGGCTCAGTGGGGAAAAGCCGGATGTTCATCAAACGGGTCTTGGAATCCGGAAACATCTCCTCCGCCGCGACATCGACCGGACATCAACGACCGGCCTTCGAATTATTGGACTCGTTCGCTCGAGACTCGATCATGTTCCTCCTCGCTTGGCCGATTCTCATCTACGACTTCGCTCGCTCCACGACCCTTTGGTCCGGCCTGGTAAATCTTCGTCTTCCCGCAGCAGTACTGTGACAAGTAGAGCTGATGCTGGTGTCCACCCATGGCATTCTTGCGCATCCCGTCGATGAACTCCTGCAAAAACACACGTGCAGCATGCAGCAGAGTTGATGAATAGGGACCCCCCATATGATAAGGTTTTATGCTGCAAATGATCAGTTAGTTTAATCTATGAGTCTACCTTAAACATGAGGCTATGGATCTATGGATAGTCCATCTCCGAGCGGCCGCAGATATCACCAGGAATTACCAAAAGAGGTTCAGTGACCTTATAGGACCCTACTGGGGTACCTATGGGATAGTCTGTAGAGTTCTTCAACCTCTGTTGGTATGCTATTTCACCCAGCCCCCAAAATGAAATCCTTGCCCCTTGCCCGCTCTGTGCGCCATGTCTTGGGGCGGGCGGAAACCGCACGGTGCCAGCTCCTTGGCATACTCGCAGAACATGGATGCGCAGTCCGGGGAGTTCTGCAAGTTGTCAATAAAGTCCTGCGGGACTGGAGATCTTGGAGATAATTACCTACATTGGGAAGCAAATGGAAGCAGTCTTCCACCATATTCAACCCCCCCTAAGTTCTTTTGGGAACATATCCGGTTGAAAAGAACCTTGTCCACCTGGTGCCACCTCAGTCAATCTGTGCACCAGCCAGGGGGCGGGTGCGCAGGTCACAGCGGATCGATGGGATGGAGATCGGACAGGTGGGCAAGCTGGGCTGGCATAGGTGGGCAGGAGTGGGAACCACTGGCAGCGGGCAGCGGGCGCTCAGAGGAGGGGCCATGGAGGGGAGTAACGAATGAAGCTGCTCGTGAACTTCTGGGAGAAGCCGGGGACCCTTGGTGGCTGAAGCCAAAATGCCTTAAAATGGCTTTAGAACCTTTGGGCGTTGTCGGCCGCCTCCACCGCTGTCACCAACGAATGACCGAGACATGATCGAAGAGGTGGGACACGTCAGTTGGAGGTGGAGAGGGGTCACCGACACAGCCCACCGCGGCCCGGTGAAATCATGCGAAGAGATGGGCGACCACTTCGCCCGGGCTGGAAGGTCGCTCCCAGGAGCTCATCCTGGTGGACGTCATCTTTGGCGGTCCGTTCGGCACCTTGCAAACACAAGGTCGGAGTACAAGCCTAGATAAGGCCCAGCGTGGAAGACACCTTGTGTACGTACTGTTGAAGTCCTAGGAGATGAAAGCTAAGCAAACAGCAGGCGAACGGGGGGTGGCGGGGTGGCGGGGTGAGTGAAACTGTCACTCATCCCGTTTTGATTGAACAGTTTGACGATTCCCAATTGCTGGCGCATGTAGCCAAAATGGCCTTCAGATCACACAAGCAAAGTTGCTTTCATCACTGGATCATCCGAAGATTGTCTGCTTCATATCTACATGGCATCTTTAACGAGCAAGGGGCAAGTGGGAAAAAACACCTCCTGCACCATCAGTGCTGATGCAGGGGCACTGGATCCAACACAATCATTGCAAGATCGCCCCATGGTGAACCATCACCTGTGGTGGAGGATAGATAGTGCATCCAACCCCAACCCGAAATCCAACCCAAGCAGCCGGAAATCGCTCCACGCAAAAACTGAGCCGAGCCAAGCGGGCTGCATGAACATGAACTTTAGCTGTCCTCATTGTGCAAGGACAGCACCTCCGAAAAGGCCTTTGAGCTCAGCGTGGAGTGATGTACTAGTCCCTCCGCGTACAGCGCGAGCTCTTCAAACCACTCCCCGCCTCAGCGCTGGTTCATCGCTGCTACGTTCCACGCGAACGCGCACGCGGTCTTCACCCAAAAGTCCGACGATTCTCGGCACAGGCGCAACAAGATTTCCAAGGGGTGACCTGGCTGGACAACCCTACACTTAGTGGTCACCATTGGGCACCCAGACAGGAAGCGCTAGGTAGACCATGCTAGACCATTTTTCAAGTCGACTGGACTTCCAGGGTTCACCTCTCTCGCATTGCCGCTCTTGTCGCATCTGGTTCTTGGCCAACTTGCAGTGCAAACGCACTGCAAGCGACGCAGCAACTCACACCGCCGCGGTCGCTGTGGTTCTCGCCTTGCACCAGTTGCTCTTTTCCTGCGTCTTCCACCTGAAGCCAAGCACTCAGGGCGTTTTCCTCCGTCTTCTGAAGTGAAGCCATTTCGAAGCCAAAAACATCTGGGTATTCAAACACTCAGTTCTGATACACTTTTCTGATTCTCTTGGGCAGGCCAACTGTCCTGCTGGAGATGGCCAGCTGTCCTGCCCTTTTACCAAAAAGTCCCGTGATCTCCAGGTCTAGTAATGATAGAGGTAAACGTTCAACCATCCTGCGGCCGTTTCCCGTTGCTTCTTGGAATTCTCCTACTCCAGGATGACAATACAGCCACACGCTCCGAGACAATCTCAGAGAAGCAACTGTTAACACGGCCGGTCACTGACATCAATCTGTCTTTCAGCCATTTGTCGTCCATGTTTTTAGAAGGACCTTCAGACCATCCTCCTCTTCAAACCGTCAGGGCTCTTCAAACAATGGTTGGTGTTATGTTACCTTTTTTAGCCGCCAAGATTATGCACGGTCACACCACAAGGCCTTCTCGTTGACCCCCGGGATCTCGTCAGGATTTCGTCTGTGTTCGGCCGCGCCTCCATATAAACGAACTTGCCGGCCACCGTGATGAAGAGTGATGTTGCGACAGCACCTGCGCTGAACACCCTCTCCTGTGCAAAACGAGCGTAACGAGTCCAGTCGTTTGGCATGGGAACGCATTCAACAGGATAAGCAGGTATGTTCCTCTCCTGGACGGGCTCAAGTTGTTGTTGGTACCAGCTTGTCCAGAAAAGAACACAACATGATTTTTGAACACGGACGAGCATTGCAAATCCTGCAAAGGGTGCTTGCTGGATGTGATCGTGGAACTGGAAAAAAGATCCGTGGACCCCACACCAAGGATGTCAAGCATAGAACATCATAGAACCATCCAGGCCCTGATATGCATGCATAGACCAAAATGAGCTCCGCAACAGAAAACAACCCCGGCCGGAACATGAGGTTGATGGAACACGAGGTCTTGCTTGGCCAACTTCGTGCCAACTTCGTGCCCCAACCGTCGCTGCTTGGAACTGAGCCCTTGCAAAAGCTGTTTGGAACATGATCACACTCTCTAGCGTCACTCTCTGACCAATCCGCATATTTTGGCTCCTTGTTTCCGGAGTCAAGCAACCGCTTCCCTGAACTACCGGCTCACTCATGCCCGGGTCCTTGCTCTCAAAGACGTGCTTCTTCAGGCAAGCACAAATGGCGGCAAAGCTGTCGGGAAACACCTCCTGTCGGCACAAAGCGTGGCAGGCGCCGAGCTTCGCAAGCTTCGCGAGCTTCGCGAGCTTCGCTGGCCCCTTCGCTTCCTCGAATCCTTCAGCTTCGTGATGCGAAATTGACCAGTGCTACCCATCAGGAAGGATGGGTCTACCCATCAGCTAGCAGCTAGAGCGGGCATGATGAATGCAATAGATCCCCAAATGTGGGCCTGTCGTGGAACTCAGGCATGAACAACTATTGAACAATAACACGCCTGAAGCTACATTTACTGCAAGAGACTGCAAGAATGAATGAAGCCCTCCTCTCCTATTGGTCCACGGCTGCTGATGGATGTGATACAGTACTTGATCCCACGTGCCCCAACATAGGGCCATCTAAGGGCTTCCTAGTCCGAATCCATCCAAACACGCCCATTGGCCCACATTCTGACTCAACCCAGACTCGGACCTTCGTGAGATGGAAAATGGGCAAAACCTCCAAGAACTCCCCCCTTTGACCTTGGATTCGAGGAACATCCAGGAACGGGCACAAAAATAACTGAATCTTCTCCATAGCAGGGATCACCCAAAGGGAATATAAAAACGCAAAAAACGAAGGGGAATAACAAATCTTCCCCAGAAGGGGAAGAAAATCAAAATCAACCTCAACACAACCAGGTGACTCATGTAGAGCTCGGTCTGCAGTGTCTTCGAGATCAAGCTGCTGTCGAAGGTCACCTGAGCGGTGAGAAGGCCCATTCTCCGTGTTTCCTTCCACGGAGGGGAAAGCCAACTGCTCTCAAACCTGTGACCCTTTTCAGTTGCTCATGGCGAGCAACATCGTCATGAAAGTGACCTCAAAGTCTGAGGAAGAGCCACAGAAGATCCAGCTGTTTCTCCTGTTTCTCCGATTTCTCTGAGTCTGAGCTTTGGACCCCAGGAATCATCCGGCAGCACCCCTGAACTCGTCCAACCGCCCGTCAACCGGCCCCCGTATCCCCGGTCTCCCCGACCGGCGCCAGAGTCACAGGTGTCATCTTCTCCAGCTTGTACCTGACATGGGACATACTCCCACGTGTCGTCCCACGTCCGGAAGTGAAGATGGTTTACTCTGGTTGAAGCCTCCGACTTGGACGAAGCCTCCGATTTGGACGAAGCCTCGATCCTCCCAAATGCACCACTATATACAGGGTCCAAACGTTCACGTCTCTCAACTTCTCTTGGATGGTCCATCTCCGATGTTGGAGCAGAAGTACCAAGAGAGGTGGCCAGTGACCGTAAATAGGAGCCGTCACCTGGGTACCCTGGCCTGGGATAGTCGAACTGACCCACCTCTGTTGGTAACTCTTCCAGTTCCGGACATGACTGCTTCTTCCCACCTCAGGGACCTCCTCGTCTGCCAGACCTACAGAGCAGCCAGTCCAGTCCAAGGGGCTCTACAAACTTCATGATGCGGCTCACCAGCTCGAAGGACGCATCCTGCACGCGGAAGACGAGGCCGAAATCGACGTGGTTTGGCCAAGAGACAGTTGCAACAGTCTGGCGTTTTGGCAGTTCGGTGGGTAGTGAAATCACCAAGTAGATAGCACCAGCTGAAGTGAAGAAGTTCAAGAGAGTCAGAGTCACACTCCACCACAAGAACATCACTGATTTCCAGTGCAAAGCTGATTCAGTCTCTGAAGTGGCTCCAAACATCTTGATGCACACGACAGCCCACTTCTCCCTCTGACTAGGTCAAGACAGTTGGTCTGGCATGCTGGGAACCACACTTTTTCCCGTATCAACTCAGCCCCCCAAGCCCCCCCCCAAATCACCACAAAACATGTCCAACGGTGTTCAATATCTTTCAATACATTTCTAGTGGGGGCCTACTTTTCTATCTACTATACTGTCTATTTGGGGGTCTATATTCTGATTAAAACCCCGTTTAGATGGCGGAGTCGGATGTGGCCCAGTCTCAGAGTCGGGCGGTGAAAACCCTCCCCAGCAGCAGTTCCAAAGGGGCGCCTGTTGGAGGTTAGGGGTGCCACATCCACTCGGATGGGACGAGCCACACCACCCCTGCCACAGTGACTGGTCGATTGGAATCGACATGACTCAATGACCCCGACGTGGCTCCTGGTTGCTCAAATACACGCGGATCTCTCGGCGTTGCCGCGAGCGGGCTTCGTTCATGGCCTTTCCACGCGGCGCCGCGGTGTCGGAGAAAAAAGGAAAGTTTGAAAGTTCAAAAGCCGTCGACAAGGTTTCAAAACCAGGGATTCTTTGAGTGCCAGGAGAGTAAAGGTTCGAAAGGAAACACAACACGCCAGAACTCGATGTAGAAACGCAAAGACCCAAGGGAAGTCTACATATTATAGTAATTCTCGAATTTTGGAATCCGATCTTTTGGTTTACAGGGAGGGCTCCACTCCTTCCCTTCCTTCCCTGCTTTTGGAGCGCAGGCTCCTACAGGTGTCTCGAAAGGAATCATTTGAACATGCTTTCGCATATCTTTTGCCTGGTTTCCTTGAGATTTTGCATGGAAAAATCGAAGGACCGCAGTTCTAACCCGCAGTTCTGGACCCACCCACCCACCGCAGTTCTGGGCCACCCACCCAAGAGGTTTTTGTTCTTACTGTGGTTGCAAAGCATGAGCAAACTCCCATCAAGTTGAGGATCCCAGCAGCCCGGACAAAAAAAACTAAAAACACACACACACACACACAAACACCTACCTGGACCATAAGAACTTAGTGCGGAGCCTTGAATTTTGGGTGGAGTCTCGGCAACCTTTGGTTGTCACCCTTCGGTCCTGCTTACCCAAGTGGCCCGGAGCTCTGCCATGGTGCCCGAGATTTTCGAGATCACATTTCCGATCCTTGACCCAGCTTCGTCTCGACCGGTCTGCGCCCGAAGGTACGAGGGAGGGAAGTCTGGCTTCGGGGAGAGGCGCCCGGTGGGAACGTCGGGCGAACCGGTGGGGAGTGAGTGAGTGGCGTGCCTATCAGGTCCCTGGGCCCAATCAGGTCGTGGCCTTAGTGAAAACGTGAGGGTCCAAGCGTGGGAGGGCTCAAGATGGCTCAAGGATTCTGGCATAGAAGCAGGGCATATCACATTGACACCAAAAACAGAAGCGAGCACCCGCCAGCAGTCCTCCTTTCACCCCTTTGCATGCGTCTGTGGAGCTATGGATTTTTCTGCCCCGGCACGATGATTGACACCCCACAAGTGAATAAGTTAGTACTGCACTCTCCCCACATGTGTCAAGCTACCATGCCTGTTGAAAAGCCACACTCTTCGATGCTCTTCGTTCCACGTCCTCGCCACATCCGCTCATGCTCTTCTCGATTGACCGTTTTCTGTCACTGAGCAAGGACAGGATCTTTGGATCTTTGACGTGCAGGACGCTCCGTCCATTCCTTTGGCTGATTCGTGTTTTGTCCGCCGCGAGGCTGCCGTAACTAAGGCTTCAAAGGGCCAAAGATAGCTTCACATGCTATATTAGGCTCGGCTCTGACCAAGTACTTATGATGCACTGATCCAAGCAACGGGTCTTCAGCATGCACATGAAACGTGCACTAGCCAGCTCTGGTGGAGCTTCACGCCTGTGGTTTTGACCTGTGTCCGGCTGAGACCTTAATAGATCGAGATGAAGCTCCATCTCTGTAGCTGATCTTGCTCCCACAGAGTCTCCAGGCGATCAAGAGCTTCTCTGGCTTTTGGGCTATGGCATCGTCGTCGTATCGTCCCCCCCAAAAAATCGAAAGTGATCCTCCCTTTCCAAAGGTGCTGGACCTCTTTGATACTTCTTCCAGGACTACCACTTGAAAGAGTCACCCAACTTCGAAGCCAACATCGTGACTTTCCAGCCACGGTCTCAGGCTGTCTCCCACCAGGCTGATCAACACATTGAGCACAAGGCACACCACCAGAACAAACAGGTTGTTCATGATATCCTTGGATGGGCGCCATGAGACAGAACTGACCCGGCAAGCTCTACTTTGAAGTGGAGGCTACTGGATAGCCCAGCTCAAGAGGTGAAACATCAAGCAAGAAACTTGAGCACTCCTATAGTGGTCCCCAAATAGATAGAAACGGTTTCCAATACATTTTTAGTGGGGATTTATTTTCTATCTATTTGGGTGTCAATATGCTGCTCCTTTTTTCGTGACATGTCGTCCATGGCCTCCTGACGCGACTCCAGCAGAAAATGAGACAAGTGTCGCCCCCCCACCCCACTCAAAGATTCGATTGGAATCCAATGCGGTCCAGCATAATCCAGCCATTTCCTTCATTTCCCCTCATCAACATCCCGGTCGCATCGCCTTCCCCTGATCGCCGTAACGATCGACCAGACGTTCCGAACAGACGTTCCAATCTCGGACGCCCCAAATCGCCGAGGGAAAACCCAGGTGAAACCCGAACCCACACACACACCATCTTGTTCATCTTTCGTGAACAACCCAACCATCCCCCGAAAACAACATCAAACCAGGTGAAGCACCTGGATTTCGGAAGAGAAACCCACAGCCGGGATTTTTCCTCACAGCCGGGATTTGTCCACCCTCGCTTCGGCCTTCCACCGGGGCACCACCAAGCGTTCTTCCCAGCTCTCCGGAGCAATCGTCGGCGGTGCTGGAGAGTTCATGACCTTGGGGGGCCCGGTTCGGGCGGTTCGGGCTGTTCCGCCGCCCACGCGGGCGGGGTCGGGCTGGTGGGGTTGGTCACCAATGAGGAAAGAACACAGGTTTTAATGAGGAAGACATGCACCAAAAGGAAATGGCTTGGTGGTGCATCCGTTTTGGGAGGACATGCCCATCCGTCTTGGTCTGTGTTTTTGGATTGCTTAGCAGTCGCACGCTACACATTTTCGAGCGGCAGTCGCACGCGTCGGACCTCCCATACCAACGACTCAGCGCGGAGTCGTGAAACCCTTTTCTACGGTCGAACACCACGCGCTCTCCGCAAACTCTTGCAACTTAGCGACGTAGCGCAAGGAGTGAATGTACTGCGTGCCCCCAGGTTGATCCCATGCGCCTGCCTTCAAGATCCAGCTCTCCCGCCCCTGCTGAAGAGCCTTGAAGGAGGGAGCGAAGGAGGGGAGATGGGGATTCCTTTGGTGTTCTGGGCACTTTGGAGAGGAGAAACGGGCGCTGTGACTCATCCAAAGTTCCTCTTCTTCGCCTTTTCGCGAAGCTGTTGGACCTTATGGGCTCCGTTCTTCGCAAACAGCGACGGTGCCGACGGTGCGGTGTTCGGTCTGCCTCCTCTTGCTGCTGAATGGTGTAGCCGATCCAAAACCAAATGCAAGTGATAAAATGCGTGACCAGCGTGGCAGCAATGGCCGAGGTCAGAATTGCAATGACCTCGGATGGTTTGGTGACTTGCAAGCTCCACTCAAACCACGATTTGAAAGGGGTATGGCATGGTGCATCTATTGAACAAAAAGGTACATATATATATGGCAGTGGATCAAAACATGGGGGACCCTGGTTAACTACCGAAAATGAACAAAATAGATTACCAGGAGGTCAACTTGCCACGGTTTGGAGCTCCAGTGTTCATACAGTCTACAGTCATTGTGTCCATCTGTTCAGACTTCGTGTGGAAAATGAATCCCCCACGAAATCACTTGGGGTGAACATATCACCTACCTTCTCATTGGAAAACGTTGTGCCAGGTTCTTCAAAGTGACCTTTTGATCCCTTGGTTTGAGGTCACTAGGCCTGGAAATGGTCACTCAGGGACTCCAAAAAGGTCACTTTAAAGAAGCTGGTATATATATATATTATATGTGCATATTAGCAGTGCATATATATATATAATGAATGATGCAAAAATTATATACACTAATATATATACACCAACCTTTATCTGAATATATCAGAACGTTCGTTAGATGATCCACGATGATCCACAAACGTCCTTGTGCCCAGTCGGCCGAGTCACCAGCATGATCCACTGGCGCCCCGTGGAGGCTGCCAGCTCTTGAATGATCTCATCCTCACAGCTGGCCATGATGGCAATCTGTACTTGTCTTGACTCGAGGGGAAGAAATAAGCACACAGATGTGCACGACTGAAAAGCGACACATGGTCACCTGGTGCTGTTGTTTTGTTGGATATGACGTCCAGCTGCATCTCTCCCCATTTTGTAGAAAGTTGCAACATCCCTCGGGAAACCTATCAACGCCTTGAAACCTTGCAAAATTTGACAGGATTCAGGTCCTCAAATACAGTCGCTGCTCGACTCAAATGACACACCCACGCATCAAACTATTTCTTGTAGTTGTGCAATCAATTATATATATTTATATATATGTAAACATGTCCATGATTGTCCATGGATCTACGTATTCGCACTAGTGACAAGACAAAAAATCCTTGCCAATATGGCACAAAACATGTGCCACTTGGTGGGTATTCTGTATATATATATATATTGTAGATATATAGATCGATGAAGAGACGGCTCAAGCCATTTTGGCTCAAGAGTGACACTTGGCTCAAGTCTCGGCTCAAGGCTCTCAGTGTCCAATCGCCTTTTGGCACTTTGCGACTTCTCTGAGAAGGTCCTTGCTGAGAAGATCGGTGGCCTCTGCAACGCTACCCGAACAAGCACCACCATGGAAAACACATGGAGAAGATCTTCCTGGACCAGAGCATATCAGTGCTGTAAAGGCCCTTCGTGCTCGAATTGGATTTGGGAAGACAAGGTCTGTGAAGGCTATGTATGCCGGAAGTGCGGCTTGGCTTGGAGACAAACCACTCAGGGGTTCAGCCGACGATCCCCTTCTCGCTCTTTGGGGAGATTTGCACCTCGACAGAAGCCGGTCTCTCCTCCTCCAGGGCTGGGGAACAATCGCTCATCCAAGCTCACACACGTCCACAAAGCAACCACAGACCTGCTGCGGGCCTCTTGGACTTCCTTGGATCCAAAGCTACAAGAACAGCTAGAACACCTGGGCATCAAGCCTGTGCCTCCCAGCACGGACCCTGATGACCTGACCCACGTGCTCAAGGAGAACATGGCACAATTGCCCACCGTGGTCAAGGAACTTGTGGAACGCATCACCAAGCCTCCTCCTGAGACTGAGAAAGACATGGCCCTCAAGCTCAAAGCCCAGGTCTCAGCTTTGCGAGACTTATCGCACCGCAAGATGATTCTCCAGCAGAAACTCGACACAGCCAAGAAGGCTTATGGTGATATGCTGGAAGAGATGAAGGGCATTCAAACCAAGCTGGAGGCGGAACAAGGAGCACTGAATTCCACAAGTGCGACATACATGGAAATGGTGAAGACCACCAAACCTGCCACTGAGCTCCAAGAAGGCGAGGCCATGGAGGACACTGTGCCGGATGCCGTGGCAGGGTTCATTAACACCCTGAGAGTCAGTTTGACGCCTGATCAGAAGGCTCAGCTCACCACGATGCTGAAACGGCCTTCGGCAGAAGCCACAGATGAAGACATCAAGCGCCGCAAAACAGCAGGTGAGCACCAGCAGTGCGGGTAACAGGGTCGTGAATGGCCCTTCCAACTCATCGTCAGCTTCTGACAATCCTGGGGTTGCTGAATTCTTTCAGCCCGGGGGTTTTGATCAAGAGAGTTGCAGGGACTTAGTCAACTCGTTTGATCCTTTTGCTGCGTGGGGCTCGAATCAGGTCCAGTTTAGTCACGGGGCCTTGGCGAGCTCCACAACCTTTCAAACTGAGAGGAGGTGGATCACACCACCCTCCTCAAACGGGGCAGCCATTGAGCCAAGGGGCACCGAGCTCTCCTACCTCAGTGCAGATCCTCAGGGATTCTGCAGAACGCGGGACCCCAACGGCTCGTTTGGCTGCCCTTTTGATGAACATCATGGAAGAAGAACACACGACTTCCTCTTCCCCCTTTTTGACGCCGGGTCAACAGGCCCTCTATGATCTTTGCAAGAAAGACCTTGACGCGTCGAGGCTCGATTTTGAGGCTCACTGGTCTGTTATCAAAGGCCAGCAATTCTTGGTTGATCTCCGCCGGATGGAGAACACGCTCCACAAAATCCTGGCTGTGCAGGGAGATGCTCCTCATCTGGCCACTAATGTTTATGTGGTGGCTCAGGCCCTGACGAGCATCCTTAGAAATCCTCACAACATGTGCTTTGGGAACTCCGTCTTTCGCTGCTGGAGTTGGGCTGGTGCGCATGCAGAGGATCAGTCCATAGCATGGGGCCGAACTCATGAAGCTGTTCGCCAGTTCCTCTCGGCTGACCAACCCTGCCATTTACAGGAGCTCGCACACATGCACCACGTCCTTCAGCACTTCCAGGAAGGAAATCAGGCTGACGTCGGCGACTTCGCTGGCCATTTGTGGAGCTTCTCGGAAAGCACCTTCTTTGGAGGGAAGTTCTTTCATGTCCATGCTGATGGCCGTTTGGAGGATCGAGAACAGGTGCCCCTGAACATGATCCTTCCACAAGGGGAGACGCCAATCACGCTCGATGAGGTTGTCAACCTGTGGGCCAATGAAGACGGGGGCCAGTACCTCTACGGTACCCCTGATGGATTCATTTTGCACATGCAACGGTCTGCTCTAGTACAAGGCCAGTGGACCAAGCACGACAGGGCCCTAGAGTTTGAGACCAGTGTCAACATCCCCTTCTCTGATGATGGCATCCATGTGCACTTGGCCACCTACAGGATTGTCAGTCTGGTTTTGCATCAGGGGCATGGACACGAGAATGGGCACTACGTCACCATACATGCCATGGACAATGCCTACTGGCTGGCCGATGATGACCACTATCCCCAACCTCTGGGACAGGTCACCAAGCAACAGCAACAAGAAGTGGTGCAACTGTGGATGATTCATGACCAGCAGGAATTGGCTCCAGACATGGTCGAAGCCTTACAACCAAGTCAGGCCAAACGAGCCAAGCATCATTACGAGACACTTCATCTCATCTTCGCTAATGTGACTTCTTTTGGAGGAAGAGTGCAAGATTGGATTTGGACCAAAGGGGACCATTTGCTGTGCCTTCAAGAGACGCATTTAGGTGACAAGAAACTGGCTGAAGTGCAACAGTACTTCAATGCAAGGGGTTGGAAGACACATGGCGTTGCAGCCACCAACACCGGGCGCGGAGGCAACACTGGGGGTTTTCTCACTCTCCATGGCACCAGACATATCACGCATTTGGATCACTCCTACAACTTGGAGGGCAATGGATGGATGTCTATAGGCCTTCAGCGGCAAGACACCATGATTTTCATCATCCAGCTGTACCTCAAAACCGGGGAGACGCTGCAATCCACCTCCAATGCTGACATCTTGGGCTCCCTTCTCCACTACCTGAGCCATCTCAGTGCTCCCTTCATCCTGGGCGGCGATTGGCAAAATGATCCAGGAGCATTGGCAGCTACTGTCATTCAAAGCAAATTCAGGGCCGAACTCATTGACACGAAGGGTCCCACCACTCTCCAAGGGGCGCAGCTGGACTACCTCTTGGTGTCAACTTCCCTAGTGCACAGCTTGACTGTCACTGCCAATTGGGAAGTCCCCTGGAAACCTCATTGTGCCATTGAAGTCGCCTTCAATTGTGATTATGCTGCCATCCCTGTTCAACAACTACAACGCTTTCCACCCATTGGCCGCACTCATGCTTTGCCGACTGCTTGGACAAGTTTTTGGGAAGAGAAAGGGCCCTTTCACATCATGGGTCATACCATCACAGGCCTGGGGTCAGACTTTGCGCGCTGGGCCGCACAAACGGAGAAGTACCTGACTCAGCTTCTTCACAACCCGACCACCGGCAGAGGCTCCAAGATCGCCATGTATCAAGCACCTTTGGTTGATCACACCAGATCCCAAACCTGGAAAAAGGGCTCCGTGGCCTACTGGGACAAAATGAAGATACGGGTCAACCTCGTACATCAGTCTCAACACACCAGAATAGCACAGGACCTCCTCAACATGATGGACACGCTTCATCAACATGCTTCTGACCACATGAGCCAAGATCTGTTTCGGGCGCTTATGACCCACTGGATTCAACATCCTGAGAATGAGCCCCTGGAGATTCGACGCATCATTGCCGAGGAGGAGCAGCTTGCGCACAAAGCCATCTTTGCCACCACCAATGAGGAATACAAAGTTTGGCTTGAGAAGGCCCACCAGAAAGGACTGCGAGGGCTCTTTCGCAGTTTGCGGCAAAAAGATGTTCCTTGGCAACGTCCTCACCAGCACTTGCCCTTGGAACAACGACAAGCAGCACGACAACAACAGTGGGAGGACATCTGGCATCCCAGAGAGGATCCGAGGCCACTTCGGCAGTGGGATCTCTTACATCAAGCAGCCCAAGACCAAGCACAGCAGTTGCCTCCCATTCAATCTCACCTACTGGGACAACTGCTTCGTCGGCTACCCAACAAAGCTGCCGGCCCGGACGGGATCTCCTATGATTTTCTGAGACACTTGCCATACCCGGCTGTGGCGAAACTGGCAGGCTTGCTCACCAATATGGAAAGAGAAGGAGAATTGCCAGTTCAAATGCGAGTGACGAACATTGTCCTCATTCCCAAGAACCACACGGTGGAGCGTCCCATTGCCCTCACCAGCTGCCTGCACCGGGTTGGTGCCATGTGAGAAAGGCGGACCTGCAACGATGGCAGTTATCCCTGGACGAGAACCTCCCATGGGATCAGGCCAGACCGGGCAAGGACTGCTTGAGCATTGCCATCGGTCGGATGCTTCATGCCGAGATTGCCAAGCATCAAGGCATTCACACTGTTACCTGCTTGGCTGACCTCACTTGTTTCTATGATCATGTTGATTTGGATGCCATCATTGAGCCCGCCAGAGAACTTGCATATCCTCCCTTGCATTTGAAGCTGGCTCTCGACCTCTATAGAGGTCCCAGGACTTTGCAGGCCGAGGGCATCAATGGAGACCCCAGGCACTATGACCGAGGCATCCTGCAAGGATGCCCCAAGCTCCGGCCATCTCCAAGCTCATTTTGTTCAGGCCGCTCAAAAGCATGGTGACGGAACACCCGGCGGCAGCGCTCCAAACCTGGGTTGATGATGTCAGTTTTGACATACACAGTCGGGATCCTGACTTTGCTGCAAGGGAAGCCTTGGAAGCCTTCAGAACTCTCCAGCATCAGATGGAGCTGGCGGGCTTGAAGCTGAACACGGACAAAACTGGCTTTCTGACAAGCTCCAAAGAGGCGGCACGGGCTCTGAAAGCTTTGCTTCGAGAAGGTGATCCAGAACACTATGACGTCCTGAGAGACCTAGGGGTGGACTCCACGGCTGCCCGCAAGCGACGGGTCACTCAGATCCGCAAAAGGTTCCTGAAGGGCAAGGGCAGAGTGGGCATCATGAACCGCCTCCGCATCGCCACGGGCATCCGCTACCCACTCCACAAAGGGGCGATCCATGCAGTGATGTCTTGGGGAGCACAGGCGAACGGACTCGCCCCACAAAGACGACAGCAACTCCGGGTTTTGGCAGCCAGAGGACTGCGTCTACAACGTTCTGGGTCAGTTGACGTGGTTTTCGACATGCACAAAGATCAGCCAGATCCAGGCGATTCCATCATCATGCAGCATTTGCATACAGTCTGGAAAGTGTTCCATGGCTTCGATGAGAGCAAGCAGCACCTTTTCTGGTCAAGCTGGAACATTGCCTTGAACTCGTTGCAGCAGGCCAAGTATAGATGGCAAGTGGTGACGGGACCCCTTCAAGCCCTTCAGGCCTACATGATGGATCTGGAATTTGACGTCTCCAACGGCCACAAATGGAAGCGCACGGGCTATGGCGGAATTCCTGACTGCCACATTTCCTTGTTGGATCCATGGCCTTTGATTCACACCCAGATGCAGAACGAATTCCGCTGGCAAAGACTGTTGAGATTGACACGCTATGAAGGTTGCCACGACATGGAAAGGCAGTTGGATTGGATGATCAGCCGTCACATCCAACGGAGCACGAGCGACGAGATCGCCACGGGCTTGAGAGCTTTGCACCAGGGCACCTTGCACGGCATCTCGGGCCATTGCCCCTTATGTGGGGTTGATTTGACCTTTGTTCACCTTCTTTGGGAGTGCTCCTTCTGGAAAGGGAGAACGAAGGCTTTGTCAGAGGAGTGGGTGTCTCGGCTCAACTTTGGCACAGATCCAGAACTGTGGCAACGGGGTTTTGTGCAGAGCCTCTTCTATGAGCCGGAGGAAGGCTTGGCCACCATTGAAGGCACGGGCTTATGGAAAGACTTGGGCTTCCTCAAGGCTGACAAAGGGCACATTTGCTCCATTGCGGTGGCCCCAACTTGCGGAGACAAGCGTCATCGACGTTTTGCTTTTGCGGTCTGCGTTCACACCACCAAAACCAGACAGCAAATTGCATCCATCACAGGCATTTGTCCGGCTCCGGCCACGAAGAGGAGAGCCATCTTCTATGCTTTGAAGCAATTGGCTTTGCATGTTGTGGAGAAGACTCCGGTTGCCTTGTATGATGTCAAGTCATGGCAAACGTGGAAGCCACATGTCGCTTTTGAGACCTTCCCTGACCTTTTCCCGGGGCTTGAGTTCGAAGATTTTGCCCATGTCTGGCCACTTCTTTTCTCCACCAAGGAGTTGCAACAAAATGAGTTGAGACGAGTCACGCAGAAAGACACTCAGAAGCTGGCTTCCAAGACTGGCAAACTTTTTGAGCCCACGGAGATCCTGGACATGCAAGCACATGTCGACAATGATGCACATGAGATCCTTCTTCAAGCAGGGGAGAGGATGAGCATTTTGCTTCGCAACAAAGACCATTTCTTACACCAGAAGGACAAGGTCATGGAGCACAAGATTCCCTTGCTGCAGCAGAAGAAAACGATTCTGGCAGACCTGCTGGTCAAGGAGTCAACTGCAGGCCATGCATGGGAAGCCTTCCGCAGTGGCATCCAATGCCGGCATTGCAGGATTCGATATCACACCAAGAACATGCTGGATGAGTTGAAGGAGGCCAACGATCGACCTTGCGAGAAGGCCCCAAGAGCCACTCCTCCGAGGCAAACCAGGATGGAAATGATCCATGCACTTGTGGCTTCTCAGCAGGAACCTCAGCCTGGCATCCATCACTTGAAACTGGATCGTGCGTACCTCCGCTGCAGTGAATGCAAGAGCTACATTTTAGCTCGCACCAATGAGGACGCCTTCAACAGGTTCGTGGCCGAACCTTGCCATGTTGGCCCCTTGAAGGCAGACGAATGGCCAGGGCATGGATCACACACCATGCAGCGGAAAGGCACTTCCTTAGAATGCACTCGATGTCATGCTCGGACGAAGTTCCACAACGGGGAGATCAAGCTCACCACGCGGCTTGCGGCCAGGTGTGTGTTCCAAAGGAACAAAGACTTGAGACAGATGTTCTCATGAGAGAGCCGACAGACGGAAAAAGACGTGCAAAAAAAAAAAATCGATGAAGGGACATGAGGCCACATGGTCTCACATTCACACCAAGCCATGCCTTCCCCCCGAAGTCGCCATATGAACGCGCCAAGAAGTGCCTTTGATCTTCTGTTAAACAGACTCTGCTCGGTGGTAGCATCCACTTGGGCCCCCCCCCGCCGGGGCCCCGCCCCGAAGCGCACACCGAAACCGCCCTCAGCTCGTTGCAAACAAGTCTTCCAAACAAGGTCCTGTCAGCTCAGCTCTTCTATGGTAACTTCCCCACCTATTCGGGCGCTTAACAGCCATGGCTCCAGCTTCGTCATCTTCAAGAGCCGCAGCATGCGGAAGGCCCGGAAGATGCGGCCGAAGCGCAGCCAGCTGAGGTTCAAGTCCTGCAGTTATGAAGGCCAACGCTACGTTTTTTTGGGGTGTTGGCATCGATCTATTTATGGTTTTGCCTCAGTTTGATTGAGGTTCCCCATGTTTCTCGCTTGGACCATGCGTTTTGCTCCGACAGCCCTCGGGCGTCCGAGAGGGGATCAAGCGGGTGAGAGCCGCGAGCAGACTGTCCGACAAAGGTTGAAGAACTTTATAGACCATCCGATAGGTACACCAGCAGCAGGGTCCGGGTCCTAGTTCAGGTCACTGGCTACCTCTCTTGGGTTGACAATTAAGACCCCCGCCACTAGGCTTCGTGTCTGGGATTTGCCAAATTCTGCGAAGCGTTCGGCGACCACACCTCGATCGAGACCACCTTCCGGTCCTGCGCCATGTTCAGGTAATCCAAAGAGACAAGGCTGATGTCCAACACAAACCATGTGGACAAATATCGCTTCAGAATCGCCGAGCGATCATGCACGAGCTGCCCCTTGATATATACCGCTGTATTGAGGTTGAGAATGATGTCCTTGGATGGCTCTGCGTCAAGCCTAGTCCAAATCGCCAACTCAATGATGAAACAGCTAGCGAAATCATAGAAGTGGAATGCACGCTCTACATTTCGGGCTTCTGCAAGAAGTACGTGCGAAGTCGTTCAAATCTCCTGGAGTGTACAATCTTCCCAGTCCATGTTGGTTCAAAGCAGGGATAGATGTTCGCCCAGTCATTCGTCGCAACAGATTTGGGTTGACCAAAGAAAATGAACAGAACCTATTTTCCAGCCAGGTCAATCTACTACCGTGAACTGAGCTCCAGGTTTGGACGAAAACAGCCACATCACCAGCTCAGCCGAAAACGAACCAAGCGAAAAGAGTCTACGGCTTTTCAGCCGATCGAGCTCGATTCCTTCAGGGGCCTGGGGCGCCGATCGAGCTATCTGGGCGGGACCGGTTCAAATGCTCCAAAGAATCGATCTTACAGGTCCAGTCTGACCTATAGGTCCAAACCTTGGTCCTGAAAACCGAAGTTGAGTAGGCCCCAGGAGTACAGATGTGCTTCCGTTTGAGTGAGTTGCTCTCTGGGGCCGGTGTGATGTTTTTCATATGGCCAACTCCTGTAACAGATCGAACTGACCTGTAGGCATTCATCAATTCACCGGCCGACGCAAAATGATCCAAGTGTCCAGGGTCCAGAAAACCACACCTTGGATCTGCTGAAAGGGCCGAAAGAAGGGCCGAAAGGACCCAGAAACCGGTCTTTGGAACCAAAGAAGGAAGTACATGTGAGATAGTGTGAGCAAGCTTGAAGAGCAACACACAGCAAAACCATCCAAAACACCATTTTTTTGGGTGATTTTTTGTCCAAAACCTTTTGAAAGCCTCCAGGACACTAACTCCCACGGAGATGGACAAAATGTAGCTGCTCACTCGGCCGAAGCCCATGTCTCAATACCAGGCAATCGAGAGGGGCAGCACCTCGGCTTCAAGCTGTACAAGCAGTACGCCGCCAACCCGGCAGCCGCCGCCGGTGTAAGAGTTCCCAATATGATATGGGAGCCTCCTTGTATCTAGAGCGACGTTGACTGGAAGACATTTCTTGTAACTCTGGCATCTCTCAGGAAATCAAACATATAGTATATATACACAATGCATATATATATATATATGTTTAGTTACATTCTTAACATGTCGTGAAACAGTTACTTTGTAGCAACCTAGTAAGCTAGTGAGCTGTCAGCCACTGAGGCTGGCAGCACATCTAATGAATGCTAAGACCCACGAGTAGCCTCTTTTTGGAGCTGCACCAGCAGCTCTTCTTCAGGAAGGCTTTCTACTCAGCCGCTGCCCACCCCCGCGGATCGTCCAGGAAACAATCGCATCAACCAGCAGCAAGACCAAGCTTGCCAGATCCTGGGCTCAGTGTCTGGCGCCAATTTCCTCCCTTCTCTACAAAAAGACGTAGCTATATTATATACTATACATACATATGCACACGTGATTATACTCCATACATGTTTCTTTTCTTAATCTTCCATCGTCCTTTTGCTCTTCCTTGCTGCTATTCCTTGGGTCTATCCCATTGCCAGGTTCCAGTGGATGATGATTATGATGATGATGATGATGATGATGATGATGATGATGATGATGATGAT